GATGCACAGCTGGTGAGTCCATGTTTTAGACTTTTAAATATACTCAATATGAGGGTCCTGTATTCTGTTCTGTCACCATATAGATCACACAACGTATGCGATTCAAAGGAATAAACAGTCTTTAAAAATATATCGGAAGAGAATTTCAAGAGAAAACAACCAAACAAACATTGACAATATACAGTATATACACAGTATATATATATATATATATATATATATATATAGACTGGTGATGATTAACTTGGGAACACGTGCAAACTAAATTATTTACCATGGAAACAAAAGAGCAAAGGGAACAGAACCAAAACAGAAATACATTTGACAGTAAAATCTGCAATATTGTAAAATATTAAAATTTATTTTAATATAGTTTAAAATTTAATTATTGTTATTATTTTCATTATTATTTAGGTGCTCAAGAAACATTTTTTTATTCTAATGTATATATATATATATATATATATATATATATATATATATATATATATATATATATATAATAGGCCAACTATATACAGTATAAATACTATGTTTATTATAATAAATAATACTACTATTATTAAACAATTATTCTATAATCAAATATATAAACATTTTATTTAATTACTTACAAAACATGTTGGAACCATTGAACATATTGGCAGGACAAGAAACACTCTGTACTGAATTCTTACTGTAGAGTATGGATGCATAATGAAACTCTCCCAGACATCAGAAATTATGCAAACATTTAGTTGTTTTTTTTTTTTTTTTTTTTTTTTGTCAAACAGGAAGAGGCTTGCAATAAAATATTCACTGAAACAGAATAAATATGCAGGTAAAATTGTCTGTCTGTTTTGCTATTTGTACCACTGCCACAACATAACACTTGTTCCTGTTTTGCTTAAGTGACCCAGAGGATCCCTTTGGCTCTTTTTGTCTCTTCTCAGTCCGCTAGAGCGAGAAACTAAAAACAGACTAATTATTTAAACACATAAGCAAGCAGACTGAGCAAAATATCCATTTAACTGCTCACTTTTACTGCAACTACATTTCCCAGCAGGCCTCTGCCTCGATGCACTTTCCTGAGCCAACACACAGATGCTGAACAAACTCTTTGACCCACAGAATGGGCAGGTGGGAGGGAGGGAAAGACAAGGGGAATGAAAAGAAAAAAAAAAGGATGGAAGGAGGAAACAGAGAGTAAATTCGCATGAAGCAGCCAACACCTGTCGACTCAGCAAACAGACAGTGTTGTCAAATGCTCTGTTGAGCACTACAGAGGCGAGTGGCTCCTTTATAAACGCATGACGAGGTGTAGCATTACCTGCACGCAGATACAGTATGTGATAAACGGCCCCAGCGTGCCTCAGACACAAAAACACCATCTGTGAATCCAGCGAGAGCACACTAACATGCACCATTTCAGCCTGAAAACCAACAGGTAACTACCAATTGAGCTTCAGATAACAGCATGATGTCTAGGAAGTTTGAGACTGAACATCAGAAAATTCACTTTTAAGTCACAGTAGATCAATTATACCAGAAGTTACCAATCTTTTTTATCAATTGAACCCAAGGTTTGGCAGGTTGACTTACTGTATAATGTTATCTGTCAGCTGTTTTTGAAATCACAGCTCGGGATAATCACTAGCGAAGGGTTTTGGACAGTGGATGTAATTTTATTTTCCTTTTTGATTTACCATTTGTCTAATGAAAATCCATTTGAAAAGTAACAGCTCATCTCTCTGCAATATGCCACAGGATTTGAGGTATTGATCATGTCCAAAACTATGTTTTGTCTATGTACAGTCAGTGCCATTTAACATATTAAAATCTATACACTACCAACGTAAATTATAAAATCAAAATCATAAAATTAAAATGTATTATAAAATCATTATTTTGCAAAACATATTTCACAATATTACTGTTTTTACTGTATTTTTGTTAAAATAAATGCAGCCTTGCTAACCATAAAATTTGGCAGTGTATAAATAGTTGTTAGATTTATACTTATACTTTATACAGCAAATAGTTCCCTTTCATTCGCTTATGTTCAACGTAGTCGACATGTCAACTGATTGGGATCATGCTTAGGGAGCCTGTCATTTTAGAGTATTGTTAAAACGCGTCAATGCACATTGCCATGTGAAAATTGCATCACACACTCAAAGGGTATAAATACGGAAAGAGATGCACACACCAGTTGTCTTTCGCTTCGGAGCAGACTGGTGTGGATGTCTCTGAAAAGTGTTGTTCTATTCAACTAACGAGTGTGTCAGTGTTCTTTTGGAAGACTCTCCCAGTGCTGGTGATTCTACAGTGCGAGTGCAGCGGTGATCACAAGCTTCTAAACTCTCAATGGCTGTTTTAACAGCATCAAATTTCAGTGTTTGTGTTTGTTTAGGTGGTTAAAGGGCGAGTGAGTGAGTGTTTCACTTATTCAGTTCACTGTTAATGTGTTGCCGCGGTCATTCCCCTGTGTGCTCCGGCACTGGTGATGGGTCCCATTTTCTGAAAGAGCAACACTGGTGCTTTTGCGTTTTTTCAAGATGCCATTCCATCCGTGTGTTTCTGGATGCAGTAGGGCTCGGTCCCCCTCTGACGGTCACAATTGCTGCATCACGTGTTTGGGCTTACAGCACGCTAAAGCAGCTCTTGTGGATGACTTATGTTCCCACTGCGTGGATATGACCATCTCGTGTTGAGATAGAGACTCGCCTTTGTTCGCGAAGGGTGAATCTCCACTCCCATGCCCCGCTCTGGTGTTTCTTCTGGGCCAACTTCCCAGAAGAAGGCAAAAGTGCAGTGTGGGTTGGGTGATCTGAGGATTACAGTGTCAATCCGCCTGGCAAAGCCCCGTGGATCCCTCGCTCCTCTTTCACACTGCATCCGGTGGAGCCCGCGTGGCCATCAGCGTGGAGCCGGACGCAAAGCTAACCCGTTCCTGCGGGCCACTCAGGGATGGAAGAAGGAGGTCTTGAATATGGTCACTGATACTCAACTTACGATTCAGTTCCACTGGCGTCTGCCCAAGTCAGCGCTATTCACTCAGCGAATGATCCAGGCGAGTGGACATCGCAGTTCTACTGGCAAAGGATGCGATTGAGACGGTCTCTCTAGCCAATGTGAAGACCGGCTTCTCTAGCCTGTACTTCATTATACCCAAGAATGGTGGTGGACTACGGCCAATCTTGGATCTGCGAGTGTTGAATCGGGCCCTTTTTTAAGGTTCCGTTCAAGTTGGTAATGCAGAGATGCATTTTTGTTTGGTCCGCAGCGTTCGACCTGAAGGACGCATATTTCAGATCTCTATCCTTCACAGGCCAACCTGTTTTGTTTTTTTTTTGTTTGTTTTTTTGCGTTCGAGGGTTCCAAGTCAGTTCTACCTTTCGAGTGCTCCACAGCCAGTTGTGTTTTCAGGTCAACTGGGAAAAAGAGTAAACTTGGCTATGGGCTAAGGATTTCTTTGTGTTTGTTTGTTATGGAGATGGGTTATGGCCATGACTCGATCCAACACGTTTCTCATGCCTTGCGCCCCCTCTATACCCTCTTGGGACTCATCTCTGGTGAGAACTTCCTTTGAGTCACTCCAGGCAGCTGAGTTAAAAACCTGTCTTTAAATGAACAGTTCTCCTGCTTGCTTTACTGTACCTCTATCAAGAGGGTAGGGGAACTGCACGCATTTTCGGTCAATGAATCGTGCCTGGAATTCGGGCTGGCGAACTCTCACCGTATCCTGAGACCCTGGCCTGGAGAACGCAAAGCCTCAGGACCTCAGACCAGCTTTTGTCTGTTACGGAGACCAGCAGAAGTGAAGGCTGTTTCCAAGCGGAGGTTGGCCCACTGGATAGTGGTTGTCATCATGACTGATGTTTTAGAGCTCCGTGCTGGGCGAAACCAAACACGTTCACTTGAAAACTAGCCTATGTGTCGAGCCGGTTGTTTTCCTGTGGGCTCCCTTCACATGAAGCCAGTTTCACTGTAAGCCCGGTTCGAAGTGTCGGCTTGCTGCACCATTCCCCTTCTATGGACTGGATACGTGCACCATTCTTGCTCCATTGAGTTCCTCTTTAGCCGAACCCCATTAAGTTCCTCCACACCCTTCCCTACGGTGATCCTATATGTGTACTCTTCCATGGTACGGCTCTTTGTCTTTCCTTGGCAGAGCCCGCTCTGCCGCCACTGACCTGTTATAGGCTGGAGCTACCTCAGTGACATTCCATATGTTGTACTGCCCGGTAACGCTCGGCTCCTACACATAAAACAACTGGTGCATGCATCCACTTCCGTATTTATAGCTGTGGGGAGGAGCGTGTGATGCAATTCTCACGCACCAATGTGTATTGGCTCCTTTTAACAATACTCGAAGATGACCAGCTCCCTAAGCGTGATCCCAATCAGTTGACACGTCGACTACATCTCCATTCCCTCTTTCAGGGAATGAGGGTTACATATGTACAGTAACCAAGACATTTCTGATACTATTTTCACCTTAGTGCATTGTAATATATAATGGGAAAATACAGTATGAAATAATAACAATACATTTAGTGTATATGATTACATTTATTAAAATCATAAATGGATACTGCCTTATTGGGACATACTTGTCCCCATCCCTAAAGCCCTCACCTACACCTACACTTGACCCTACCCGTTAAACACTTTATTCCTACTATTAAATACCCGTGAGGCACCTCATGCCCACATTCAGTATATTTCCTTAATATTTATTTAAAATAAAATCCTCTCTCATGCTGGAGTTAATGTAAATAACCTCTGCCAACAAAGAGCAATAAAAAAATATATTTTGACATTCATATCACAATCTCCATGAACTCCAAGGGCTTTATGAACCCCCAACTGGGAAATCCTGAATCACACCACAGAAAATCGAATTAACTTCATAATAAAATGTATGGCAAAATTTGATCAATAGCAAACCAGACCACTCACAGAAAGCAGCATGCTTCAGCTTTATCATGAGGAGATAAGTAAGCACAGATACTTACCATTTGGACTTTCCTCATCAATGGTGACAATAGTGGCAGGTGGACCTGACCGTGACAACTTACACTCTGCCAGAAACAGAAAGAGACAGAAATAGAGTCAGACTCAAATCTGCCATAACCTTTAACACAACACATCACTCTCAAAACTCACTCACATGAGATTACATCTAGATTATGAACAGCCAACACTAGTGTTAAATGATTTTACTAGGTGAATGTCAAAGAAAGAAAAGAGAAGCCTGTCAAATTGGCTTCATGATGTGATAGAGGAAAGAAAAGAGTCTTACCCTCATAGTGCCAGTCTGAGGGGCGTTAGTGTCAGGAGCAGTGAGAAGAGAAAAGAAAAGAAGAAAAGGAAAGAGACATATGAGAAAAAGACAGCTAGAGAAAGGAAAACAGAGACTAATGTACAGTACAGGGCTGTACACAATGCATAATTGAACTGGGAATGCCAATTTTGAGAGATTAAAATTAATCTGGTCAACCATTGGTGGATATTGCTCATGTGCAGTGTGGCCAACATTTAGCTGTGCTTTATGACAAAATGCACGCACTGAGTCACTCACGTTGTGTGTTTGAAAAGGAAAACATGCCAAACATTAGGCATACTGTAGGTTTTCTCCGATCTCATTTCATAATGAATGGAAACATTTGAAGTAACATGCTGTATGATAAGCCATATATTTTTGTCTAGTGTAGAGTTCCTACAAAAAAGTGTTCCCTTTTTAACAATATATAGGCTGCCTGATATTTATCTGTTATTATTTTATTCAGCCCTATACATAGGCTATAACAATGCACAACAAACTTGTTGTTCATATATATATTTAATAATTGTAATCAGAAAAATCAAAAATGCATTCCCAAAAATCGTGCATTATCTTTGTCTTTCTCAGGTGTGAAAAGCAGTAATATTAATGGGTGGTTAGCGTCTTCCAGCATAAAACCATCTTCCTCAAAACAGGTCATGCAAATTTTAAAAGACTTTATTGTATTATCTGAATGAGTAGTCAGGAAGATTTTCACATAGTTTTGGAGCAAATACTCTAGGTTATGTGATACAATTTTCAAAAGTATTGTCACTGAAATAATCAGTATGGGTTTTATGACCTTATTTCAGTGACAATTTTTTTTTTTTCACAAACCACGCATAAACATTATTATCTCAAAACTACAAAATTTTACATACATGCTGCTGACATATTATTGTAGCGGGGTTTGTGCTGAATACAGTGTAATAATACTTTAGCCATGAACATGTCACAAGTAACATAAAAAAGCTCAAATGTCAGAGCATGTCAGAACACCTCCAGGACCCAGAAAACACCTCAGACCCCAGAGGGTTTTAGCGATGTTTTCACGGTTGTATTTAAATTATGTCAGTACTGAACTGAAAGTACAATGCAGGCATAAAGTACATTGTAAATATCAAAGACTTTGTCAAAAAACCTGCTAAACTAATGAAATATCTCTGTGACTACACTAAGTTTCTTTGAATTGGAATTCATTAAATGCATCTTCCTGTCATTCTAGTTCAGCATTCTATGTGGATGCCAATTGAATTCAAAGTCAGACTCAAGAATTGAAAACGAGCAATTTTGAGCCTTGGTATAGTAGCAGCCATTTTTTTTTTTTTTTACTGACCATGATACAGCAGTCTCCCACACATACATCCACGATGTCATCCACACATCAATTAGCTTTAAGTGTCTGAGACGAATCACCTTACACTCTGAGTCATGAGGGCAAGAGATGCCAGAGGATACACACACAGCAGATACTGTTCCCCCTTTACCGTATGTCGCCTAACTCTTCTTACGCAACTAAGCACCAGTTGGCAGGTGAGAAGCAGGAGATTTTCTTCCCATTAATTATTGATCACCTCAGGCTTTTATCCTGATCAACTAGGGTGTGAAAATCAAGAAATTCTAATTTCCTTGTACGTGTGTATAATGATAATAACAGACATTCATGATTGAGTGAGTGAGTCAGCAGGGAATTGATTCAATTCACTGGCTTTCAATTCGATTCAAAAGCTGTTTTTGTCGGTCAGAATGACACGATTCTAACTCTGAATAGTGATTCAATTCAGTGACCTATAATTATAGTAAAGTTCAGTAAAGAATTTTGAGTTCAAAATGTAACCGTGGTAATCTATCATGATAAAAACCCATCAGGTTACAACATTATTATCGGTTACCCAAATAAAGGTAAATGTTGTCAACATTACTGGAAAACCATACAAGTTGCAGAAGATATAGATCCTGTTACAGCCATTTGGCCAGACACAGTGAAATTATGTATCCCGCTGGTCCATTTCAGTAAACCACACGGCTCATAAGATTTCACTGCCCTGCCTGCTTGGGGAACAAACATACGTTGCTTGGGAAAATTGCTTATAGGAAATTAATACATTTAAATGTTTGCACTCAGTTTGAATGATATGCTACTGTGCACACAACATTAAAGCGATAGTTCACTAAATAATGAACAAAAAAAATTATATATCCCATGATTTACTCACCCTCAGGCCATCAGGTGTAGGTGCTTTGCATGATTGGGTGCAATATGACATGTCTTTGTGTTTTTTTTTTTTTTTAAGTCTTATTTTTCATAAATTTAACCTTTATTGTAAGCCGCTTTCTCCTCTGTCAATTGAAAGACCAGTTGACTTCCTGATTCTATGAAACCACTCCGTCAGAAAAAGGCAATGGGCTCAGATTGGTTAGTTGGGCTGGTGTGTTGTAATTGGCTAAACTGCGTAGTGCAGTGCAGCGTAGTGCGGAAACTTCACTCCCATTACCTTTATGGGCGAAAGCTGCATGTGTTCCTGTCAAATGTAAATAATGGTGTCAATACTGCAGTATCAGTTTGAGCCAAAATCAGACCCAGAAAGCGGCAATGAAGAGAGTCAAGCAGAACATCCCCAAACACGGCTCTTACAAAACGTTTTAGAATTGTATTTTTTTTTTAATTATTCTATTCTATTCTATTCTAATATTATTATATAAATTTCGATCTGAAAATGAAAAGCTTTCTAGATTGAGAAAAGCTGAGACAAGAACATTTATTTTTGGCTTATGTGGATGAAAGACATCAACTCCCAGAATACACTTGGCTTCACTGCCCTGGAGGCAACCAACGCATTCTCACCCCAAGGCGTCACCTTTGACCATGCTTCAATATTTGACGTTTTAGGCGGCCCTTTAGCGTCACTTACATGACGCGATCCTACGACGTCATCTAACTGACGCTAAAGGAAAGCGTCAGTTAGAGGACGCGGTTAGGTTTAGGTGTGGGGTGGGGGTAGGGTACACGCGATCATAGGGCGTCATCTAACTGACGCTAAAGGCCGCCTAGAGCGTCAGATATTGAAGCATGTCCAAATGCTTCCCAAGGCGTCAGTTAAGTGACGCCTTGGGGGTGAGAATGGGCTGAGGCAACACATCGCAGTAGTTAAACAACAAGTCTAGGCTACTAGTTAGTTTCCGTGATGAGTCTGGGATTTCGAGATCGCACAAAATTTCCAGGATTTGGCTTTTGCGTTCTACACTCGGCATTCATTACATTTACTGTGGCGAGCAGGACGAGTGAGGGCCGCGGGAGAACAGCGCGAGGCCAGTGGCGTGATTGCCGATGAGCGACACCTGTGAGACGCACTGGTCTCGTATCTCTCACGGAGGAGCAGAAATTTTCTAAGCAATGTTAAAACTCACATCAACCGATCACTTGTTCAACGTTCATGTAAACACTATATTCAGATTCACCAATCGGAATGAATTCAGTTAGATTGAAACAAAATGTGTGCATGCAAACAATGAATGGTGACTGCAGAAATCCCGGACATCGACGGCCAGACATGTCCAGGAAAAAGAGGATGGTAACCCCCACTACCCCCACTACTTCTCCACAGAACAAGAGCCTGCTAGCTTAGCTTCCAAAAAAGAAGTCTGACACTATGTGTACATTCTCTGAGTGAGATCCCACCCTCTATGGGCGGGTTGAAAACATACGGGACAGCCCCTTCTACTGACTGTAGTCTTTAGCCTCTGGCCAAAAAATCCTCAGATGACACAAAATGTTTCCAAACAAAAAATACATAAATCTCTCGTCTCAGGGGGATATGAGGGTGGAAAGCATAGTAATTTGAAAACACTACAGGTTTCCTACTAATACAAAGCTTAATGCTAAATCCTGAAGTATCCCTTTAAGTATCACTTTAATAAGACCTCATTCTGCTTAAACTCTAATTTTGATCTGTTTGAAAAAAAAAAATCGCATAAGAGAACTCTGCAGGACTTATTCCCTCCTTTTCTGAGTTTACTCCAAAAGATCTAGCCCACTTCTGCCTCAATTAGAACACACGTCTTCATCTGCTGAGGAGAAAAGGAGGCTCTGTTGCTCCTTTGATAGACACAAACTCAACAGAGCAACTAGGGCACAGACACACTTCCATCCAGCATCAAACAGCAGCTAATCTTCTGTAAGCTCTGTTTACTAGTAGCTTTTTACACCTCGAATGCTTCTAGTTACCCTTTTAACAGAGACTATTCTGTGATGCCCTGCCTTTTAGAGACTCAGGACAGAGTTTATTAAAGATGACTTGTGTGATGTCAAATGCAAGGAGATACTTTTAATTAAAGGAGAGGTCAGGAAACACGTGGCTCAGAGACAGACTCCACTGTGAGTCGCGAGACAGACTGAGCACCAACACGTAATATGTCTTACTTTCACAAGCAAAAACAGCACCAATGGCAGTTTAGACTTCCACTGTGAGATTTAATGAATTGGTCATGACCCAAAAATGAATCATATGTTTGTTGTGATGGGATCAAATAATAATAAAATGAAACTTTTATGCAAATCCCTGCACGAGAAGTTGCATGACCATGACATGAAGGGATAAAATTAAATATGACCCAGATTGCATTAAAAATCTTCATAAAACAAACAAGGTTTATGAATTAGCGGATGCCAAGACCATGAAACCACCCAAAATACAAGACACTTCTAGAAAAAAAACTAAGAATCAAGACTGTAAATCACACTACTGCTGTTGACTTTTATACACTCTCCTGGATGCCAATTTTGTCATTTTATAACACACAAACTTATTCCTTCAGGGTAACATATAATAAGAAATATAATTATATGTCTGGATAATGAAAGCAGAGGAGGGTACTAATTTCCTAAATGATTTTGCAAAGAAAAAAAAAAAAAAACTTTCACATTTACATACCAAAAATAATAATAATAATAATAAAAGTATTCGATTGCAGTATTCGATTTCCACAGTGTGCAC